CAGATACAGGATCTCATCCGAAGTCAAGATTCTACATGGGCTGGCTTTCCCCTGTAGATGCCAGATCTGTTCTGGCTGAGTTAGCAGCTGCTGTTGTCTTAGAAGGCCGAGCTCTCTCTTACTGGCAGGGGGAGCTACGGTCCTCAGAAAGCTGGGCTGGAAGTTGGAAGGCAGAGTGATGTGGAGACAGGACCAGGGTGGACTTGGGAAGACCTGGAGTCAAATACTGCCCCTTATTCCAATGACGGACAAGTCATTTAGTCAGGCTCACTGGAGTTACGTCATGCATAGGCCAAATTCAATTAACAGATGTATTCTCCATCTTCCCCTCACAACTGCCAACCAAAGAAATAAATTATTTATTGCTGGTACATGACAGTAACGTGGAAAGAGTGCCGAATCTGGAGTCAGAGGACCTGAATTCGAAATCTGGCTGCTGTTTCCTCCCTAGGGCAAATCCCCTAATCTTTCTGGGCCTCCATTTCCTCATCTGTCCAATAAGGAGGTTTCAACAGAAGATTTCCCAGGTCCCTTTCAGCTCCAAATCAATGATGCTAGGAAAGGTAGCCTTACCCTCTCACAGGAAGTCAATCTGTCTCCAGTACCTCACAATTTTTTATTGTTGTTCCAAAACATTAAAACGTGCCAACCTCTCCATTCAAGATAGTGAAGCCTTAATCCCAGAACATGATTTAAGGTTGACTTGAAAGACTGGCATGAACATGCCTCAAGGGGGTTGGCAATCCCAGCACATACTATGCTGATGAAACCTGGATAAAGCTAGTCTCAGAGGGAAAAGAGGGATAAAAGATATCACAGTCAAGGAAGTGTTAAGTTCTAACAAGACAAAGCCTGGTCTATGGCAAATCATCACAGGAGAGAGGGTGGAGGGCTGCTCCTGGGAAGACCAGGGTGAAGATCCCACATCAGATCCTCCAGCAGCTATATGACCCTGGCTGAGTCACTTCATCTTAATCTCAATCTCTCTCCCTACTTTCATGTCTCTGTCCTTCTCCCTCCCTCTCTTCCTCTTTCTCTCACTCTCTCTCTCCTTCCCCCTCCCACCTCTCTCTCTCTCCTCCCTTCCCCTCCCCCTTTGTCTGTCTGTCTCTTCCTCCCTTCTCTCCCTCTCTCTCTTTCCTAGTCTCTGTCCCTCTCCCTTCCCCATCTTCCCCTTTCTCTCACTCTCTCTCTCTTTCCCCTCCCCTCTCTTTTCTTTCTCTTCTCCCTTCCCCCTCTCCCTTCGTCTGTCTGTCTCATCCTCTCCTCTCTCTCTCTCCTTCTCCCTTCCCCTTTGTCTGTTTTCCCCTCCCTTCTCTCCCTCTCTCTCCTCTCTGTCTCTCTCCCTCCCTCCTCTCTGTCCTAGCTTTTGTTTCTTCATCTGTAAAATGGGGATAATAACACCTCTTCTCTAGTACTTATCTCACAGGGCTGCAGGGAAGGACAAATGAGATCATGAAAGTAAAGCACTTTGCAAGCCTCTTCGCTTTATGAATGTCATTTAATTATTGTTGTTGTTATTATTCACTCATCACCATGATTTCATCTGGGTGGAAACTCCCTCCACAGATGGCAGAGCTTCAACTAGCTCCCCTTTAACTTGGAATCTCAGAAAGCTGCCTGGAACCCTGAGACGTGAGGCATTTGCCCCGAGTCATTTAACAAATACCTGTTAGAGGCTAGACTTGAACCCAGGTCTTCTTGACTCTAGGGCTGGTCTTCTACCTACTACACCACACGGCCACTCTTTAATATTTAATATCATCATTATTGGGAAAAGTGGGAGTTGACCTGTCAAACTAAGCAGCACTTAATTCGGAGTAATTCTGGGGTTCAGTTACTGTTTGTTGATTCAACCTCTCATTGTGTGGCTAAAGACATTCTGAAATGATGCTCAGGACGTCCCCTGTGTCACAAGGAGATCACCTGGCAGGAATACACTCAGGTGACACAGCCACCCTCCACCTTGCTCTCGGGACAACAGATGCCAAGGAAGACTGAAGACTCAATCCTGAAACAAAATGACTGGAAAATGACAGAGGGTCCCAGGCTGAGGCTGTACTTTCTAGGCCTCTCTGAAATTCAGGTTTACTCCTCTTCCCATGACACCTTTTTCGAAGACGTACAAACTCTGATGTCTCCATTAAATTCTTTCCTAAAAAATAAGAGGCAGTCACCTGGTTCTGCAAGGTTCCTTCTTTCCCCTGGCTGCTGGAGGACACCATGAACACCCCTAAGTCAGTCTACACTCTTGACCAAGAAAAGCCTAGACTTATTTTACTTCTATATTTCTTCTAAAATAGAAGCATAAAATTAAGGGGTTTTTTACTCCTTTATGGTATGTTTTGGATATTTGCTGCTAAAACCAAAGTGACGAATTTGGGGTCTGACGATGTGGGTGCAAATTGTACCTTTGCCACGTGTGTTCTTGTGAAACCATAAAGTCACTTTCCCCCTTGGGGTCTCAGTCTCCTCACCTATAAAATGAGAGTCAGACTAGATGACCTCTAAAGTACCTCTCTCTTACAAACCTAGGATTCTATTATCTATTTATTATTATTCTAACCCTAGAATAGCTGCATATTAGAGGGCTGAGGCTTGAAATCCATCCAGGGATACACAAATACAGGGCACAATTTTATCACTATTATGGTCAAGGCTGTATGGTAGCCTGGATAGAGAGCCAGCTTTGAAAACAGGCAGACCTGAGTTCAAGTCTCTTCTATGACATTTAGTGGCCGAGTGACCCTGGGCAAATCATTGAACCCCTTGGTGCTCTGAATAACTAAGACTGTAAATTGTAGAAAAGATGGCAAGCTGAACCAACAGAGACAATTTCCTCATCTGGGAGTTCCCTAAACCTATGAAACCATAGACTGGGTCCCTATCCCTTTTCAACAGAAGAAAAAGGATATAGGATCAAAGGCAGCTTGGTGTTGTGAGAAGGGTGACACCACTGGATCCTAAATCCTGCCTCTGCCATATGTTACCTATGTGATCTTGGACACCCTCTTAAAATGAAAGGACTGGGTCATATGGCTTACAAGCCATACAATAAGCTTACAAAGTCCCTTTCCAGCTCTAAGCCTATCTCCAGACCTGGAAAAGACCTCAGAGACCACTTAGGCTAACCCATTTTACAGACGAAGAAACTCAGATCCAGGGAGCTTAGTTAATTTCCCAAGGTTGCACACACACAGAAAGTATCTGAGGTGGTATGTGAACTCAGGTCCTCTAACTCCTGTGCCAGCAATCTCTCCATTTGACCATGTGTTCACTTTGCCACCATCCATCACTCACTGTCCCATGGAATCAACATGAACTAAACTAAACTAAAGAAATCACAAGGAAGCTTTCATCATCCATAGTGTTCCTGGCAGGAATCCATATCACGCTCTTAAAAATCCCAACTAACTCTGGCCCCAGGTGAACTCTGGTGGCCCAATACAAGGCGGGAGAACAGAAGGCTGTCCTTTCCTGGAAGAGCCATAGAGAGACTACCACTCTTCCCTGGTCCCCCAGCAATGATGCTCCATAGGAAAGAAGATTTCTGCATGTAAATTATTTCTTTATTCATTACTTCGTATGAAAATTAGTTTAAAATGCATCAAGTAATAATATGGCTCAAACGGACAACTTAACGCCCCAAACAGCTTCATACCAAACTGGTTTTCCTCATCTGCACTGCTCTGCCCTTGGTTGGCTTCAAGGAGAATGGTGTTTATCTGTGGGGAAATGCCTTCTCTTCCTATCCCGGCCTCTAGCAGTCTGCCTGGCACCCAGTAGGCTCTTAATTAGTGCTTGCTGAATAAGTGAATGATGAATGCAAAGTGCTTTCTGAATCTTAAAATGCCCCATCAATGCCAGCTGCCAGTATCAGGTAACACAGTATGGTCAGGATTTGGCTAGTGAAAAAGTCCAACTGATTTAGGGATCTACAGGGGAAGAGAACAGCCAGGAAGATGACCAGAGAGCAGAGTGAGGGACAAAAGCCATTTTTCTCTGAGCCTGGTGACACCTTTGCTAAGATGGAACAAGGCCTCCTCGTGAGGTACCACTGAGCCAGCTGTAGCCAAGAAAAGCTGGGTTCAATGGTCACTGGGTGATGAGCAGCATTTAACCAACCAAAGATGTCTGGCTCCTACTTTAAAAAGTAGCTTCTGTCTAGGCAAAGGAAGCCTGACCGAGAAACCAGACAGGAATTAACAGCCCAGACACCAGACTAAATAAGTCACCCCAGAGTTCTCTGCCATCTCATGTGTCTGTACCCCTTTCTTTCTCCTGCCTAAGGTCCCCTGCCCAGCTACCTTCTACCTTCTGGCTTGGGTCTCCTGCCACAGGAGGGAAGGAGTCCAGCACTCCTTACCCTATAGACTAAAGAGGAGGCATTTCACGAGCTACAGCATTTCCTTCAGAGATAAAGGAAGAGACCAAGGCCCTTCCTCCCGTCCCCCTACCTACAGTCCTCAACTCAATAGCTCTTTTTTTTTCTTCTCCTTCCCTTCATCCTCAGCACCTCCTCCCAAACAAAATAAAAATCCTGGTTTCAGCAGTCTCCCAGCACAATCCAGAAAATAACCCTCAAGAATTGTCCTGTGCCAGGAACAAAGAGCTGCTGGAACAGCAGGGGCAGCATTGGTGGCGGTGGCAGCAGCAGGCTGCAGGAGCCTGCCACCGGGAGCAGGCAGCCAGCTCGGGCACGGAGCCCACGATGGGCGCATGCTGCTTCTCCTACCCTGTCCAGGCAGGGTTAAGCATCCCCCCACACATCCTCACAGAGCAGCGGTGGCAGCAGAGTGTGGAGCAAAGAACAGAAGAAAGAGGAGACGGAGGAAAATAAGAAGGTGGAAGTGGGCCAGACCTGCAGGGCAAGGAGGCACATCTGAGCGCAAGGGGGGCATCTATCAATGACAAGCCAGAAGTCAGCAAGTCCGCAGCTTGTTTGCTCGGGAGGCTGCCCCCCCACATCCCCGGCCACCACCCCAGGCCCCTTCTTTTACCTGGACCAGGCGGCTACCCTGCTTGCCTCAGGGTGCTCTCGGTAAACTCAGACTGCAGCGGGCTCCCGAGTCGGGGATCCGGCACAGGCAGTTGGGAGACCTCACTCCTTCATTCTGGGACCCGGCAGCACGTTACAGACAACCGTGCACTTCCTGTTTGAAAACACAAGGGAGAGAGAAAGAGAGAAATCGAGTGTTGGCAGAGTGGAGGGAGGGACGGAGCCATGGAGGAGGGAGGAGGGATAGGGGGCTTGGAGGTTGCATAATCGCCTGCTTCACCATTGTCAGCCCGGTGGGCAGGCTGGAGCAGCCCTTTCGCTTAGCTCTCTGGCTCCCCAGGAGGGTGTTTGCTCCCTGCTCCCCCCAGACACCAACCATGAGCCGGCATGGCCTCCCCTGCCTCCATCCTCATGGTCTTCCCCCTGCTGGCAGTCATGCTACAAGACGGGCCCTGAGCCTTCCATTTCCAATCACACCCTGGGTGCCCCCTACTCTTCCCAAACAAATACACACTTCATACAACTCCAGTTTGCTCCCTGCCTTCCTACTCCCTTTGCCGCCCTCCGGAGGCAGTTAGCCCTTGGCAGATGAAAAGCCAAAACTGGTGGTGGGGGGGGGGGGCGGCGCTGCTCCTCGCTACTTAAGGCTCTTTTTTTAAAGTTAACTGTCACAACCAGTGAATTCCTCATAACAAAGATTAAAAAAAAGTTATCGGGCTGACAGTGCTCACATCTTTTACACTTAAGGGAAAACAGCTGAACTCAGATGAGATGAAACTACAATGTATGTCTGCCTCCACTTAACCCATCCAGATGTGTCATTAATAGATGCCAGACCCAAATCCGATATATGATCAAAATGTGACAGTGCGTAAGTGTTTCTATGTGTCACCTCCCATTCCTGGCACCTTCCAACTCAAAAGTTTTAGGGTTACTTTCATTTTCTTGGCTTATGGTCCCTTATATAGGTGAGCTTTTCAGTACTGCTGTTGGTAATAACAATAATAATGGTAATTCCACAGCAGTGGATCTGAATTGGAAGATGTTATTAATTGCCTGGTGAATCCTGCTACATCAATCACCAGGGCCTCTCCCATATGGCTCCTTCAGACCCTGCCACAGAGTCTGACTGACAGCACACACTGGACTTTACAAGGTTACCGGAGGCAGCCAAAGACAAAACAACCTCTCAGATCACCAACACAAAGCGTTTTAGAACTCATCCAAACGGACGCCCAGAACACGAAGAGTGATCGTCCCCTCAAGTACACAGCTGAGCTCCAAGAGAACAAAAAGATCACTTATTCTCTGTGGAAAAGGGAGACGGATGAAGATTGGAGGTCAGCCCAGTCAGCTCTGGGTGGTCCTGCAAGCTGACCCAGTATCATCATTCTAAGGGCTCATACACAACTGACTCTCCTGTACCTTGATTACCATTATTTTCCATTATCAACCACTGGCCCGTCCACCTCCCTCCACCTCTCCCCTCCCCCTCCCTGAAATGACTTGCTGGCAAAAGTTCAAAAAGTCCCAGTACAGCCATTTATACTTCAAGGCACAAAGTTCTGGCGAGTTCAGATGACCATCAGCTGACTTTTCCCAGTAACTTGGCCTTCTGATTAGAAGTCAATGCTCTCCCTCTATGTTTGATGATAAACGCTGTTTTGAAAGCTTCTGCGGCTGCGGCGTCTTAGATCCCCCCTCACCTGTCGCTATCAGCTTCCGGGCAGGGCCCAGGAAAGGCAGCACCCTTACTAAAAGGTGACCGAGAAGAATCTTGGCACTGGAAGAGCCTCTCGGGAAGGGGCCCAGCAAGGACACCGCTCTTACCTGCGGCTGTACTTTGACCCCAGCCCAGGCCAATACCAAAGCGTGCCTAACACCGAGGTCCTGCAGATGGACTGACTGAAAGGAGGCCTCTCCTTATCTTCCAGCCCTTCCTGAAACTTCTCCCTATCAGCCTTTCAGGATCCAGCCTGCTCCCCATCCTCTTCCTATGACAAGGCACCTTCTCATTTATCCTGGCCTTGCCAAGCCTACGGCCTTAGCACAAACTCAATCCTTCCTCTGACAGCGGCTTCCTCTGGGATGATGACATGCCTTGGGGGCAGTTTGAACAACTTCTAGTCCATTTTCAATCCCTAGAAATACCTTCCTCCTTCATTCTCTACACCTCCCTCACATGTAACAATGTCAATTTACATTATGATAAATGCCATGCTTGCCCATAATTAAATGCAATTTATACCTGTATTTTTTTAAGAGTTCTGCATATTTAAAATGCACAGGCAAACGCATTTGTAAATAAAACATACGGTGGTTTACATAGCAGCTGCTTTTCCAAAAACACTGCATTTGCTATAACCAAGGAACCTAGAGAGATACTCTTTAATGAAAAGTACTAGAAAAAATACTTCAGAAATCTCAATTTTGCTACATATCACACTGGTTTGAACATGGGCTGCAACCCTGAATGGATTGAGAAACACCACTAGCTATAGGTAGAACTCAGGTTTTTAACTCAGAGGAAAGCATGATTCATATTCAGACAAATGTTGTATTTTCTATGCTATGAGTATATGATATACATAAGAGCACATAGTGGGACCCTAGGCAGCCAGGTGGTGCAATGGACAGAGTGCTGGGGCTGGAGTTAGGAAGACCTGAGCTCAAATACAGCCTCAGACACTTCCTAGCTGTGGTGACCTGGGCAAGTCACTTTACCCTGTTTGCCTCAGTTTCCTCATCTATAAAATGAGCTGGAGAAGGAAATGGCAAACCACTATTGTATCTTTGCCAAAAAAAAACAAAACAAAACAAAACTCCAACTGGGGTCACGGAGAGTTGGACATGACTGAAATACAACAAGAGTGAGACCCTAAGGAGTATGGATATAAATGTCCGTCCACACACATACGGCCCTCAATAGCACCGTACCATAGAGAATTTCAATAGCATATACCTTAATGATACCATTTTAAGCTGAAGAGAATTTACTTGCCACATTCTGTCCACCTTTTTCATTTTGCAGATGAAGAAAATGAGGCTCAGCATGGTTAAGCCTTTTTTTGCCTAAGGTCACACAGCTAGCTAGTCAGCCACCTAGCTGGGATTAGAACCCACCTCTTCTAACTTCTAGGCAAAGTCCTTCCTTCCACTACATCACCCAGTCTCACCTAATCTACCTGTTACTCAATTTCTCCACCACCATTCCTATAAACACTTGAGTCCTGGCTTCAACCCGCTCGGAAAAGATGATTTCCCATTGACCCCATGAGAACATCTCTGTTCCCAAAATGTTTCCTCAGTAACCACAAGCCCAGAGTAACATGGGACACGCTGCTTTGACACAGACAGTCCTCTCCTTCTACCGAGTTAGTTTCACACACTCCGGTTTCTTTCTTGCCCCTGTATGCACTCACTGGATGAACAAAACAAAAACTGAAACTGTGACCTCTGTAGAAGGAAGAAGCAGATATGTGCTCAGGCGTGCACAAATGATCTGGCTTCGAAAGCTAAAAATCCATTTTCCAAAGTTTGGGGGGGTTTTGTGTGTTGTTGTTTATTTTGTTTTTAAAGTCTTCCTCCCTCTTTAAATACTTCTGCCTACACAAGAAGGCAGCAACATTAGAAAAGCCATTTTCTAGCCTAGAAATTATATTTTGAGAGAAGGCTTTTCTGAGGCAGAAACTGCAGTTGGGGGGACATAATAAAAATACTCCAAAGCAGCCCAATCGCCCTCCTTCAATTTCAAAGAGGAAGAGAGTCCATTAGAAAAAAGTTTCTTTAGAAAAAGGACAGCACAATTAAGTTTCTAAACCTACCTGCGGAAAGGACATCTGCACGTGAGTTAGCATGTGTGGACTTTCAATTATGTCCATGTTTTAGCAAGCAGAAAAAAAATATGACCTAGCTTTTGGTTACCTAAGAGACACACTCACTCACTCACTCTCTCACTCTCTCTCTCTCTCTCTCTCTCTCTCTCTTCTCTCTCTCTTACCCCCCCTACCCCTACCCCCTTCTTTCTCTCTCTCCTCCTCCCCCCCAACCCCCAGCTTAAGGGTCTCTAGAGCAACTCCCTCCCTTTTAGCAAATCAGCCTCTCACCTTCAATTCCAGGACCCCTGAAACAGAACATGTTTTGTGAAAGAAGGGCATCTCCACTCGGTCTCCAGCTTGGGGAGGGGGTGGGTGGGGGTAGCCGAGCAGGTGGCCAGTGTTCAACTGTGGGAATGCCACTGTCCACAGTGAGCTGGGCCCCAGCAGCAGTTGCCAGCCCCATACCGCCAGTGTTAAGTGAAGGGGGAGGGGCTGGTGAGCTTATAGAAACACACATGTATCTTATCTCGTTGCAAGCTTGAGTCTATTCCCCGGGGTGAGCTTCTTCCTGACTTCGTCTATGCAAGCTGGGATGGAAAGCAGTATTTACATGACACAGCAGCGTGACTAAGCAAGCTGAGCAACAGGACAGGGAGCCCAGGGACTAGGAATATACTGGGGCTTTGCAAGTCATTTCTTTTCTGACTCCATTTCTCCATCTTCCAGAGGACACTGCAACCTCACCCAGCTTCTGCAAAGTGTTACTGACAATAAACACATCTTTGCAAAGGACTTTAAATATTAAGAATATCGGGCATACATTTAGGTCATATGCTTTGGAACATTAGACAGCTACCTCTTGAAAATTTTTATTATGTACTTATTTTTAAAGGACATGAAAACCAAACACACACAAATTTTATAACCACTTCAACTTCTGAGTGTTTTCCAACATAAGATAAATCCATAAGAGCTTATTAATCCATGTGGACCCCAGCTTCTCTTCTCTACATCTGTTATTATCCATACACGAATGCTATACATTACATATTCTATACATGGCACCGTTACATACTGTGTATGTGCACAAATACATACTTATGCACAGTATATACATAAATGCACACACGTGTATGTGTGTATGAGTATATAGACACATACAAACATATGGTGAGTTGGGCCACCAGAATGCTGGTGTGTGAGTGCAGGCAGTGATACTGGGAAGCTTACAGAAACACATGTGTATCTTATCTAACTGCAAGCTTATGCAGGGTGATATAGGTATACATATATACACACGACTGTATACATACTAATATATATACAGACATGCATA